AACATTTACTTTTTAAAATCAATTTTTTCGATAATATTCTAGAATGTTGTCGAACATTCTAGGTACTTCTGGTGTAGGGTATATAAAGCCGCGCTCGCGATTTGTTTAGTCAGTTTGAAGAAAAATGGACGAGCGACAAGTTCGAATACTATACTTATACGAGTACTTGTTAGGCCACAGTGCGCGGGCTGCGGCTGACAATATCAACAATGCATTAGGCGCTGGAAGTACAAGCCATGCGACAGTGTCCCGATGGTTTGACCGTTCTAAATAAGGAGACAGGAGCCTTGAAAGTCAGCCACGCTCAGGGCAACCACCCGCAGTGAATGATGACGATTTGCGCCGCGAACTGCAGTTGAATCCGGATGCTACCACTCGTGAATTAGCGGAAGCACTTAAATGCAGTCACCACGCCGTGGAATACCATCTGCATGAGCTTGGTTATCGAAAAGTTTTGGCTCGGTGGGTACCGCACATCCTTACAGACGCCAGTCGTGCAGTCCGTGTCGCTATCTGTCAGTCACTTTTGCTGCGACCCCGACGTAAAGAGTTTTTGTCAGATCTGGTTACTGGAGATGAATCATGGATTTATTACGAGAACGATACACGTCGTGCTTTTTGGCTGCCACGAGAAGAAACGCCACCAACTCAACCGAAGCCGAGTCAAAAGAACCGCCGAAAAATTCTGCTTTGCTGTTTCTGGGATGCGCAAGGCATACTTTTTTATGTGCTATTACACAATGAAACTATAAACGCTGACAAATATTCAACCCAGCTTACCAAATTATCTGCCGCTATCAAGAAAAAACGACGAAGACGACTCAATGTAGTTTTACTGCACGATAACGCTCGACCTCACGTCGCATCTGTGGTTTGCCGGCAGTTGGAGAACTTGGGCTGGGAAACGATACCCCACCCACCTTATTCCCCAGACCTCGCCCCATCAGACTATCATTTGTTTAGAGCCCTGAAACAGCATTTGCGGGGTAAACAATTTAATGATTTCTCTGACGTAGAGGCGGAGTTGAACAACTTTTTCGAGGCACAGCCATCAGAGTTCTGGGCAAAAGGCATCCAAACTTTGCCGGATCGTTGGCAAGAAGTCTTAGATACTAATGGTAATTACATCATTGACTAAACTTGTTTTATTGTAATAATAATAAAAAAGTAAAAACTTAAACCAAGTGTGGGGTGTAGATGGTTCTATGCTCACTATCGATGTAAATTACACACGATATGATCACTAACACGTTTATTTCGATAAAATGCAGGGTATAATGTCTAGCACGTGTTTTACAGGCGTTAAAGAGTAGTACGGTGTCACTTTCAGAGAGGTTAACAGCAGACTGACTCGCCGCGCTCAGCGGCAGTTATAACGTATTCGAATTCACTGGCTAGCGACATCGGACTACCCCTTTTATTTCATCGAATATAAAATACAAAAACTTTCAATTACAAATTATTATGGTATGAGCGCGTCGCTAACATTTCCCACCCTAGTGCTGGTTCAGCACTCCTGTACCAAAGGGAACCTAGCTACGCGCGCTGCGGACCGTTTCAGCGTACCTGTTTTGGTACGCAACTCAACCACCCTTACTCGTCCGTCTGCACCGGGAAATACTTCCTGAATAATGGCTCTCAGCCAGACATTACGAGGAGATCCTGGGTCTACAAGCAGAACCAAATCACCCACCTTTAGCGGCTCCTGCTCCTGGTTCCATTTGCGGCATGGTATGAGATCTGGCAAAACCTCAATCACCCATCGCTTCCAGAACATATCGGCCAGCCTCTGTGATTTGCGCTATTGTTTGCGTAGATACATGTCACTGTCATCGAACTTACCTAGTGTAGGCATAGTTGAAGCGGTTCCTAAAAGAAAATGATTAGGCGTAAGGGATTCCTCACTGTCAGGCTCTACGGAGACGTGCGACAGAGGACGGCTATTGAGTATATTTTCAACTTCTGCTAGAAGCGTACTTAACACTTCGTCCTTTGGCGCGCGCTCCCGCAGAATGACACGAAGGGATGTTTTAATACTCCTTATTAATCTTTCCCATGCCCCACCCCAGTGTGGGCTCATGGGAGGTATGAAAGTCCATTCGGCAGCATTATTGGCAGCTTCAGATTTTAGCACCTCGTCGTCGAGCTCGAGCAACGACCGCTTTAGTTCAGTATCGGCTCCTCTTAGGTTAGTACCATTGTCTGACATTATGTGGCGAGGCCAGCCACGTCGCGATGCCATGCGTCTAAGTGCCATGATCATTGAATCAGTGGTAACAAAATGTACCATCTCTAAATGTACCGCACGTATAGTGAGACATGTGAAAATTACGCCATAGCGTTTTTCGCGTCGACGACCCACGGTAACCTCCATTGGCCCAAACAAGTCAATGCCACAGTAGGTGAAAGGACGCTGATGATGGGCCATTCGAGCCAAAGGTAAGTCACCCATTCTAGGTACTAGCGGTTTTGCCTTTTTTATCCTACATAGCATACACCGTGACACCACATACTTTACAGTAGGTCTAATTTTTAATACCCAATATTTCTGTTTCAGGTTATTTACAACAGTTTCGTGGTTCCCGTGGGCAGCCTTCACGTGATAATGCTTCACGATCAACCGAGCGGTGTGATGCTTACCATCCAATATGATCGGTCTTTTAGTTTCAGGTGACACCTCGCGCGCGGCGTCAATGCGGCCACCACATCGTAGAATTCCATATTCATCGAGTATTGGTGATAAGGTGAGTAACCTGCTCGTGCGATGCAAACATTGACCTTCTTTTATTGCAGTTATAACCTGGCCGCGAGAAGGGCGGCTTGAAGCTCCAGTCTAGGTATTGTAGTTTGTTTTAATGGCGCGACTCGACCTTTACTTGCAATAAATGCGACGCGTATTATTCCGCTATCTATCCAACGCCAGTACGCAACAGCACACATCGCTTTCAATGATGCATCGCAAAAGGTGTGCAATTGTAGGTTGCTATAATAGTCCTTATCGCTTAAAACATTCTCCATCGTCGTAGCATATTCTGTAGCGCACATGCCGCTCGTAGCTGCTGCTCCGGGGTCAGGCGCGGCGGTGGAACTATTCCGTAGCGTTTTCGTAGCCCACTCATAGTTTGTCCCTGTCTCGTTCGCAGTCGATGCCGACTCTGTCCTTGTTGTTGCGCTAATGGAACGTAGGTAACATCGCGGCAGACGCACGCAAGTTCGATATTTCTTTTAAATAATGTAGCCAACTGCACCACTTGTTGTAAACAACGTCTGATATTGTTTCATCCCAGCCAATGTTGTCCTTCCACACCTCTTGTAGCATGACCTTACCTTGAATTGTGAACGGAGTTAAGAGGCCATAGACGTCAAATATAGACATAACTATAGCTAGCATCAGTCGTTTAGTAGGTTTGCTTATACCGAGTCTTATATTATCAGGAATCCGTTTCAAAGATACGTCGAAACCTAGTTCGTCCTTAGCTGGGTACCATATCGTTCCCAAAGTTCGTTCACCCATGTGATTTCCCGCCCGCCGACCGGAACGGATCATTTTCGTAACAGCTCCCCGCTAAAAAATTCAAAACTCCGGCATCTTTGAAGGTACGAGAAAGTGCGATACACCAAAACGTGCGTGAAAGAGTGCCCCACGCGGCAATGAAAGGAGTGCAAAAATCGTTTAACAACAGCAATAATGACCGGATTGCAGTATTGAGGTGTCGTCAGACGCGCAATTGCGCGCCCCACCAGGCAAGCCGGGCAGCCTACCAGGACCTCGTGGATCCAAGGAGTTATTAGGGTTTTCCTACATAACCTAAAACCACGAGGTCGGAGTTCCAGCTGCTCCAGCTCAACACGGACGAGGTGGGCAGAGGCAGTACACCAAGCCAAGTCACAGGACGCCTCGGGGCTAAAAATCGACCCACAAACAACAGAGTTACAGAGTTTGGAAGTTCACGAACATTATAGTTTAAGTTAACTTTAAATATTAATATAGAGGCAGTTGAGTTTCTCCAACTGCTCGACTAGAGCTGACTGAGACGCGTTTTTGACGCCTCACACGCGAAGATCCGAAGGCTGCATCGAGGGTTATCCTCCACCGAAGACAAGGGTGGTTTTTTCCCCTGCCCTTGGAGGCCACAGCAGTGGAGCTACAACCTCGAATTTTATATATATTGTGTACCTAGATGTAAGCTATATTTGTGTAAATTTTTAGATTTTTAGACCGTATAGTTATTAAGTTATTGTGTTTGTACCCCCTTTTCACCCCCTTATGTAAAAAGTACCATAGCTAGCTATAAGCCGACTCCGGGAAAGGTTCTATAACCTCCCCGACATCACTAGACACCCCAAAATAGACCCCTCTAGCGTGTATATCCAGAAAGTTTGAAAATAGCGGCCATTTTGGGACCAACGGACCGAAACTTTGCCTCCCCGTAACTTATTAGATATTCAAGTAACTTATTAGACGCAACGGGACGTGACACCTTAGACCCGGAGTTCTCTAAGAAAATTCCGGAAAACGCGAAAAACTTTATAACTTTTAGAATTTTTACATAAAATATCCGAAAAAAAATCATCATTGAAGCATAAAACATAAGGAAAACTGCCGTAAAAATTCAGAACGAAAAAATACATATTTTGAGAAATAAACTGACTTTCATTCGACTTTTATTTTTACCCAATTTTATATAAAATTAAGGCTTTTTAACGACAAGGTACCCTTTTGGGACATGTCTTAGAATAAGGATTTTGATTTTGGACGTATCGAGCTAGGCTCTACGACAAAAAACAAATATAAACACACACACAAAACATAACACAACACATAAACATTCACCATACATCAACACGCCAGACAGGACCAAGCAGTAGAGCTGCACTTAGACCGGCACCTGAAATAAAAAACAGACATTAATACACATACACTTAAACAAATACAACATAAAATACACAAATAATAATACATATACATAGAATATACAGAAACTGCACCCCACTATAAGATGTATAGGACACCAGTCACATCCCCCTCGAAAACCACAAGAAGGTTTTCTCAGGACTCTCCACCACCATCAAAAAAAGAGGAAAAGAAAGATGTAATTAAACAGTTTATAGATAGACCACAGACAAAGCGCAGATCCTTAGACGTTAAGAGAAAATACGATAGCAAACTCAAAAATGAAATGCAAAAGGATAATACACAGGATTTACTAAAAAAGGCAATGACATTCTTCGAAGAAACTGCGGAAACGGTCTATGGACAGATGAGGAGGGACGTGAAAACGAAATTGGAGGAAATAGCAGATCAAGGACTGGGCATAATGTACGAGATTGGTAGAAGATCAATGGAAGGACAAGACAAAACGGAAAAGGAAGAAAGTAAGGAAGGAATAGAGGAACAACTAAGAGAATTAAGAGAGGAAATGAAGAGAAATATGGAAGAATGGAGAAATAAAAAGGAAAAAGAAGAGGAGAAAAAACAAGAAGTAGAAGAAATTATAATCAGTATGAAAGAAGAAATAGGAGGAATAATAAAGAAGATAGAAACATCAGAGGACAATATAATAGCAGAAGTTATAGACCTAGAGAGGAAAATGAAGGGAACGGGAAGAACCCACAGAAATACAGATAAAGAGAAAGGAAGAGAGGAAGAAAAAGAAGGAGGTGGAAGTGGTGAACAAAAAATAGAGGAAATAAAGGAAGCCATAGAAGAACTCAAAGATATAACAACAAAAGGAATAAAAGAAATAGGAGAGAAGCAAGGAAATTCACATGAAAAAATAAGACAAATGGAATATTGGGTCATGTCAGCATAACCCAGAAGAGATAGAATTCAAGCTATAGTAAATGGATGTGAAGAGAGAGTGATAAAAAGAATGGAAGAGAAAATAGAGGAAACAAAGAATGAGACTAAAGAAAAAATTGACACCATTGATTGGGAAATACATGAAGAAGAAATAGTGAAAGGACTTGTAAAGGAAATAAAAGAAGGACTGCTTAGTGACCGGGGAGAACAAAAGATGCATCAACCTTGCAAGGAAGAAACAACATATGCAAATATGACAAAGAAATATCTACCGGAAACAGTACACTCAATAATACTGACATCAGAGGACAAAAATGACACAGCAGAAGACCTTATACAAAAAGCAAATAAAATATTAGACCCTAAAACAGGAAACATTAAAATTGACAAGATTAGAAAAATTAAAGACCAAAAAATTATAATCGGATGCAAACAAGAAAACGAAATAAACAAAATTAAAGAGAAATTAGAGGAAGGCAAAGGAATAACTATAGAGAAAATCGAAAATAAAAATCCATTGATAGTAATCAAAGACGTCCAATATAAATTACAGGATGAAGAATTAACCCAATTAATAATAAACCAGAACAAGGAATATTTTAAAAAAGAAGAAGATAAAGAAATGAGAATAAAATTCAAAAAGATAGCAATAAATCAAGAAAGATGTCATGCGGTCATACAAGTGAAACCAGAAGTATGGGGTGCCATGACAAGAGCGGGAAGGGTGTCGAAGACCAATCGCCGCTCATCCAGTGTACGAAATGCCTGGGCTTTGGTCATGGCAAGAAATTTTGCCAGGAAAGTGCGAGCAGATGCAGCCACTGTGGGGAACCGCATCTCAGGGCAAACTGCCCGGAAAGAGAAGCAGGCAGACCACCACGGTGCTGCAACTCCGCGCACGCTGGAATGGAAAGTGAAGAGCATAATGCCTTTAGCAAGGAGTGTAGGGTACGAGAGAAGTGGGAGTACTTGGCCCGCACTACCACGGCTTATGCCTAAAACGAAGATACACAAAACAGAAAACATATACATACAAGCACAAATAAAAAACAAAACAAAACACACAACTACGCAAAACAAACACAATAAAAAACAAAGATACAAAAACGAAATACATGCCTATAGGCATAATGAGTATACAAATATGGGCATGGAACAAATAAAACACAAAAACACAAACACATTAAAATAGTTATAAATTAATAACGCAAGCATAATGATATGGAAAGTTATTAAACAAACTAGGATCAGACAAAAAATGCATAAAGAATAACAATAAAAAGGACAAGTTAGGTTCACAATAAACTATAATTGTATAGATTGGAGTGACCAAACAAAAAGAAAATAGATTAGGATTTACGTAAAGAAGTAAAACAATAGGATAAAGAAGACAGTAACAAGGGGTTGAAAACTATTTATAGAATTAATAGTGATAAGTAATAAAACATTATATAGGCAATTATTACAAGTAAGGTAAATTAAAATGGAAAAGATAGCAAAATATGGACATGTGTTAAAACAGGGAAAATAAGTAAAATAGAAATAATAAAATAAATAAACTAAACAATGTAAATAGAATTAAGAAATGTAAAACACTTATATATATATATATATATATATATATATATATATAAGTAAAGAATAAAACAGAAAAGGTCTAAAACTGACATAAAAATTGTAATAACAACAGTATAAATATAAAACAATAAAATGTAATAGAACAAATATAGAAAAATAAATATGTAAAGGATAAGTGAATCAGAAGATTAAGTAATGTAATTAGAATTAAGAAATGTAAAACATTTAGATATAAGTAAAGAAAAATGTTAAAGTAGAAATAAAGAAAAAGGGTAAAAAACTGAAACAAAAATTGTAATAACAATAGAATAAACATTAAAGCAACAAATGTAATAGAATAAATATAGAAAAATAAAATGTAATAGAATAAGTGAACAAGAAGTATATGTAATAGGATAAGAATAGGACAAATAAAAGAAAGCGTTGAGTATGTTAATTAATAATAGAAATAAATAAAAATACATAGAATAGGAATAGTGATAGATGCGGCGAACCCGGTTGCTCGAAGTATAAATGAGGAAAAGAAAGAAAAGGAATGCAGAATGAAAGGATAGTAAAACAGATAGAACTGGAATGAATGTGGAAAATAGAAATAATAAAGGTCTGCTCAAAAGTGGGGTGCAGTAGTAGGGCCCAGCCAGAAATGTTGGCTGGGCAATTAAAAAAAAAAAAAAAAAGTTCGTTCACCACAATATTCTTGATCGACTTTGAACCTTACGGCCGCTTCGCCTAAGATCTCTTTTGGCACGCTGTTTAAAACATTTAAACTATTACTTGTCCAATTTCTTATCTCGAAGCCACCGCGCTTATGTATTTCCGTAACGTTCTTTATAATTTCTATAGCGGCGGCGTCATCTGGCAGACTATCTATATAGTCATCCATGTAGTGTTGTTTGAGAATCGCTTCCACCGCGGCCGGTTGAGATGACTCATACAGTAATGCATTTTTATTCTTAATGAATTGTGCTATGAATGGAGAACAATTCGCACCAAATATAAGTGACGTCATAACGTATGTTAATACGTCACCACTTGAGCTATCTTTCCACAAAAATCGTAATGCATTTTGGTCTTCCCGTTTAATTTTTATACGTAAATACATATCTTTTATGTCTCCCACAATACCTATTTTGTTTTCTCGAAATCGAAGCATGATACCGAAAAGAGAGTTGAGTAAATCGGGCCCTGTTAATAGATAATCATTTAGCGACTTACCACGGACTTTCGCGGCGGCATCAAATACCAATCTTAATTTTTCCTTGTTAGGGTTATGCACACCAGGTTCTCGGCACCGACTCCCTGGGTTCTAATTTTTGAGCGAAATTATTTTCTAAAAGGTATGTAATACGTTCTTTGTACTTACTTGCGTACTCATTGTTGGCTGTGATTTTTTTATTAATACCATGCAGACGGGACAACGCGTAAGGGTAACTGTCAGGTAACTTACAGTTGGGGTCTTTCCATGGCAACCCGACGTACCACCGTCCATCAACAAGTTGCGCGCTGTTCTCCAACATCGCAACGGCCCGCACCTCATCCTTGTTCTGTCGTGGTTTACCTGATACTCCTAGAGCGTCGATAGAAAAGGAACGGCGGACCTCCTCATTCAGGTCCTGTAGCGTGTACTCATCCGGTTGAGGCGGCGATGCCTCCGCGAGGAGCAAGTTGGTGTACGAGGCGGCCCGCAGCGTCGTGCGCGGCATCGCACGCACTATACCATGCACACACCAGCCTAAGGGGGTTCGGGTAGCTGACGGCTCATTATATTTCCCTACGTTTATTTCTAAAGGAACTAACAAATGAAAATTATCTTGACCTGTCAATATCTCAGGCTTACACAAACTGTCACAATCGAATTTAATATTTTTTAAATGATTATATGTAACTAATTCATTTAAACAAACATTTTGAACTGGATAATTTAAATTGTTTACACTACGCGCTTTTATAATAAATGATTCATTAGTATACATACTTGTCAAAGATACATTTACAACAGTAGAATTACAAACATACGCATCGTCTTTCCAAGCGCTGTGCACACGCATAGTTTCGAGACGACCACGCAAACCAGCGCGTGCCGCCAGCTGAGCACTTATCAAAGACACTGTAGACCCGTCGTCTAACAATGCACTTGTTTTTATCACTTCGTTACCATAGCACAATTTTACCGGCACAACTTTTAGTAAAACTTTACTGTTTGTCGAACACAGATGCGCGATTGTTTCCGTCGCGGGCGAAATAATATTCGATGCCGATGACTCATTCTCAGCTGCCGACGCGCTGTGATCGCTCCGCACGGGACTGTGCAACAGACGGTGATGCGCTTTATTGCAGTTATCCTTATCACAAGCGGGCGCAGAACAGGTTTCTCTTTCGTGTTGCGATAATAAACATTTGTAACAAAGCCCATTACGTTTGACGTATAGCCATCGATCTTTGCGTAACGCCTTTAAAAATTGTTTACATTTTGTTAAATCGTAATTATTTTTCTTACAAAAATTGCATTTATCTTCTCTCTCTTTTGAATTTTGTATTAATACGGTATGGGAACTTCTGCCTTGACCATCGCGCGTTATGAATTTATTTTGATTTATGTTGCGCGCGCCCATGGTAATAATATTGGCTGTTGTAGTTATTTTAATTGCTTCTTCGCGTAAAAAAATCAGATAATATGTCTATTCTTGACTTTTTATTACCATCTTGAAGCTGTGGAAAACTGTAATCTGACCATTTCGAGAGCAATAAAGTGGGAAATTTTGATAAAATTACATTAGACAGATGAACACCACGAAGATATTCGTTGCTCCCCACTGCTCGAACAGCTGTTACATAGTTCTGTATTTTAACAGAAAATGACACAATTTCACTTTGATAATGAGGCGGGAGGGGCGGTAATCTTTTCAAATCTTGTGTGATCTTAAACAATATGATATCTGGGTTACCAAACCTCAGCTCTAATGTAGATATCAGCTGATCTGGTGAGGTTGCACATATCAGGAGGGCCGAGACGGCATCCTTAGCAGCTCCTCGAAGACATTTTCGTAACCTCCAAATATTTTCAATGTCACTAAAACCACATATTTTGGTAGACTCTTCGTATGCTTGCTTGAATTGTAGCCATTCAAGCGGATCCCCATGAAACTCAGGTAAGTCCTTCGGTACACTCATCCGAGTCAGCAGTTGAGTGTTAGATCCACAATTAGTTACAGAAGTGCTGATTTGCTTCAACGCTGCCGCCAACAACTCGACGGTTCCATGGAGCGGGTCCGACGTGCCCGTAGTGGGGCCATTAGCGGGGGCGGGCGGATCCGTTACCATATCGTGTTGACTTTGTTCAAGCCACTTCTGGACTTCGGTGCGAATACGTTGGCTCTCGCGGTCATCTTCTAGCGGACTGTATTCATCTTCTAAGTCAGCTAAGTCTGCTTCGAGTCTTTTATCGATTAAATCCATTTGTAACTTAGCCTTTTGTTCTGCTGCTTCCAGAAGTAACCTCTTACGTTTGGCTTTGGCGGACGATGACGTCGACAGCTGTGAGCCTTTGCGGTCGCGAAATGTTGTTCCATCATTGGATAAAATGTCGTGAACCTTGATGCAAGCTGGTTGTCGTAGTGTGCTGTGACTTGCTAATTGCTGCTGCGACTGAGTTGACTCCAGCTGTGCCAACTCATTCACAGTGGATATCGACGGTTTTGGCGGTAGGTCACGTTGTAATATTTGTAATTTTACAGGCTCTGATTTTACACTGACTTTGGGTTGCAGCTCTAAACCATCAGGGTATGAGTTTGCGGCTACAACATTTTTATTTGCACTGCGTGTTAGTACCATTTTCCGCGGTGGCGTATAGTACATCGATATGATCTGTCTCGAAGTGACCACTTTGTGGGGTGTAGATGGTTCTATGCTCACTATCGATGTAAATTACACACGATATGATCACTAACACGTTTATTTCGATAAAATGCAGGGTATAATGTCTAGCACGTGTTTTACAGGCGTTATAGAGTAGAACGGTGTCACTTCCAGAGAGGTTAACGGCAGACTGACTCGCCGCGCTCAGAGGCAGTTATAACGTATTCGAATTCACTGGCTAGCGATATCGGACTACCCCTTTTATTTCATCGAATATAAAATACAAAAACCTTCCATTACAAATTTATTATGGTATGAGCGCGTAGCTAACACCAAGTGTCTCATTACTTTTGTGCCAACCCGATAATATTTTAGTTAAATTTGAAAACTTCCACTATGTTAACTAAAATTTTAATATATAGAAAGTTTGAAACATTTGGATATAAGTTTTGCTTTATTCGACATAACCCTTTTATAGTATAATACATATCATCGCTCTTAAAATGAGTCGAACAAACTACGCTGCGCGAAGTTGGATTCCATGAAGGTTCATTTCGATTATTACAAATGACTGAAATCCACTTCTCTTTCACATTTTGATGTCGGTTTGGAAATGAAAAAATGTATGCAAACCCGTTTAGTAAAAATAAAGAAGTAAAAAATTAAACCCGTTTTTTATTTTTTACTTCCTTATTCTAACACTTCAATATCTGTGATCTGGACCTCTATGTAGCATTTCGAATGCAAAATTTATTAAATATCATTTCCATACAACAAGAAAAAATACATAACGTAATTTGTGTTTTGTTAAAATAACGCGTTATAAAATTATAGTTACCTGATTTCGGGGTAAATAATAACGTTTAACAATGGTGATATTTGGCTGAGGTTTTGTGTTCCAAGCAATTACTTAAAGGGAATTGTTCAGTTTGTATGGGCACTTTGGCTTTGAGTGGACATTATCTACAGATAAAAAAAACATTATTTTTTAATATTTCATATCTTAAGGAAGTTAACTGTTGTAATATTTTCACGGGAAAGTTTAAAATTGTATATACAGGAATAATTTAAAACCACTGCGAAGATTTTGTGAAAATAAACTTTAAGTAATTTAAACAAACACGTATTTTTTATTTTCATATGTTCCAATACTAAAAAATAAAGTTATCGCTTATCAAAGATGGAGATTTTAAAACTTCATTTATGGACACCGCGCGCCGTGCGTCAGCTGAGCGCTCGCTCGACGCCGCCGTAGGCATGTACTCGTAGGTACCTATCTACACGGGACACTGACCGCTCATTTTGTTAGATTCGAACTAGATTTTATGCCATGATCTGAGGTGATTTCTAAGAGTAATTCCAATTTTCCCTTCATACTTTTATGGTTAAGGCCATCAAAATGCAAAAAAATAAAAGAGAAACATTTTCGTTACCTAGAAAAAAATATTAACGTTATGCCGAAGTTACATAGGTTTTGCGTTAAGGCGTATTTAAAAAAAATGAAATCAACTACGTATTTACAATAATGTTGAATCAAAACAAATACCTAACTAATTAGCTAATTACTTACCAT